AAATCACTTTTTTTTAATCTCTTGGAGTGAATGTGCAACAAAATCTTGCAGCAGTAACTACAATTGGTAATGTATCTTTCACTAATGCTTTATGTACCCTAAATAATTTTACAATTATTTTGTTTTTCCCCCACAATAAATTTTCATGAGCTATGATTATTGCAACTCATATTTAAAGGAGAAACTGGTGAAGCTGGAAAAGATTGAGTTCCCCAATTCTCCACTAAGTCACAATTAAGAATTCATTTGAATCCTAGTTCTCCTGCCCCAAGTCAGCACTTTATTTTTTTTAACTTCATTTACAATATTACAATGAAGCCCTTAACCAAAGATATCTCACTGATGTACAACATTTAAATTTAGTTAAAATTCATGTTAAAACTATGCATGCAAAGCAATAAAATACTAAAACTTTTGAAAGCAAAAAAATGCAACCCATAAAACACTTCAAAATCCTAAGATTAAAAAAAATGTTATTCATCTAAAGCTCCAGAAATTAAAGAATTTGTGTCAGTGAACATTTCTGGAAATGGTATTTTACAACTAAGGTGATACCATTAAGACAATTCTCTCCTTAGACAACTCCATCCAACAAATATAACTTAGCTGAGGAAGAGTCAAATAGATAAACAAACAAATAAATGTGTATTTTGTCTGTAGCAGGTCTCAAATAATCAGGATAGCCACTAATTGGCCTCAAAGACTTGCTGCCATCTATGGTCTACAGTTTTACAGCCCAGATATGAAAACTAGTTAAGCCATTTCCTTTGAGGCCTTAGAATCATCAATCATGATTATAAATAAATGTTCAAGAGAGACCCGCAAGGGCAAACCATAGAGATGTCTGATAGCTGGGGGGAAAAATACCTTACTCTTTCTAAATTCAAAATGGAGCATCCAGAAAGTCAGGTCCTAGGATTAATATCATGCCAAGATTCTAGTCTAGTCTAGTCTAGTCTAATCTAGTCTGCACTGTATCAGTTCCTATGTGTCAACAGGCAGACTGCTATCTTTTGCATCAGTTGTAGCTTTCAAGTCAACTTCAAAGACTAGCTCGAACAGAAAAAAATCATATTAGAGGACTACTGAAAGTTTAAGAACAACATGCTGTAAGAACTCAGCATCTGGGATACTTTGACTTAAAGACCTTTTTTTAAAAAAAAAAAAAAAGGCAGAGGGAATTGTAGGCAGGCTTTCATAATTACATTCCCCTCTTTCTACAAGAACTTGTCTCTTGTCAAGCTCCAGACAGCTGGGCACATTTGAGGTAGCAAGAACTACAAAGGTTCCAATAAGATATTTGTAATGCTGCTCTTGGAAATGGCAAGTGGAATTCCTCAGCCTCATTTCTAGTAAATCAAGGTGGAATTTCTCTGAATGACTTCAAATGCTTCTTCACCGGTTTCTTGTCACCTGGACTCAGCTCTGTTTATGAGGTAACCTGCCAATGGGTGTGCTGTCTCTTGATTGTTCATGCCTGTTTTCCTTTCCATGCCTTTCTTAGCCGTACACACTCTCTCTCATTCCCACAAAAAAGAAAAAGAAAGAAAAGGCTGGAATGATTCCTTCCCTATTATAATATTTGGGAACAACATCAAGGTGATTCTTTTCCATAAAGTTTCTGGAAAAGAAAGTAAACACAATTGCCTGGTTCTGTCTGTCTGGAGTCTGATTAGTGTGGCTTATTTAACAATCATGATTAAGCAAACAATGATTGATCATTTCATCAGCATATATACTAGCTGCCTGATTGGAATTAGTGCTAGCCAGGCACCAGGAAAGAGCTTTGGGAAGTCAGCTGCCATAGCTGCTACTGCCTGTCTGGAATGAGAAGGACCTGCATAACAAGGCTTGCAAAGGTGTGGATGCCAGGCCATTTGTCTTTGGGTTTGCAATTAGTATGGCAACTTGGTTAAAGAACAAGAGTAAAACCTAACAAGTTAACCAATCCCAGCCCTGTTGGCTACGTAGCCTGTTTTGAATAGTAGCTAAATAATAAGAGGGTCTTTTGCTGGATAGACTGAAAGATGTTAAACTTGACTGTGAGACAATATCGCATGTTTGTGCTGGCCCTTCACACTATGTAGATAGAAATTCATTCATTCTTGCCTTGGGGCCAGTGGCATAAGTACGCCTGCACACTTTCCAGAGTGCTTATATTTGCTCTTCAAGCAACTTAAGTTTCACAGAAAATTTCTCCAAACACCCATTTGGCTATTTAAAACTTATTATTTTAATCAGGAAAATCAAAGGGAAGTAGTATTTTACTCTTGCTCCTAATCACCCGCAGAGTCTTGAGAATGTGCTAGGTTGACCGTGCATTTTTTATTATTATTATTTTGGTTTCAAAAACAAAAAGACAAAGTGCTTAAACAATCCCATTGAACTGAGAGTAAAGCTAGACTGAGAACTCTGTATATATCTGTATGCTTTGTTGGACCTTTTGTCTTTATAAAAATAAATCAGTACAAGCCGGAACATTTTGTATGTTCAGCCAAGCCAGAATCAAATAAGTGATCTAGCTTGGCTCTGTGGATGCATGAATAAGCCAAGCTATAAAACCAGACTCCGTACCCTCATGGAATAAAAAAAAAAGAAAAGAAAAGAAAAATCAGTGACAAAGTTACAGTTGCTTTAGCACTTTCCCAGGCTGTTTACATGCTCAGGCTGACCTGGGCCTCAGCTCCCTGAATGTTCACACAGGGAGTTCTGCAGCTTTTTCTAAGTGTGAAAGCAGATCCCCATTTATTCTGGTTAAGAAGGAACAGAATCAGTACTGCTAAAAGGAGCAGTTAACAGAATTATGAAATTTGCAGACAACAGGAAGTACCTGTTTAGACTTCCTGTTTGCTGCACTTTTCTGTGTAGTTCAAATTAGAATATTTTAGTTTCTCCTCCTACTACATTCTGGGCCATCTACATAAATAAAAAAACAAGCTATTTATCTATAATTTCGAGGAGCTTCTTGAGAAGTGAATTATTAAGATGTGTGTGTGTGTGTGTGTGTGCCTTTCTGGTTCAGTTGCATTAGTTTTTCCCAAACAACTATCGAGTTGCATCATAATTACAGTAACTGTCAGGAGAAAAAAAGACCCATTTCATCGTTCCTCACACCCACCCCTCAAAAGGCCTAAGTAATTATGGCCGGTTAATCTTGGCTGAAGACTTAAAGGCCAAAAGGTCTCACATAGAAGATCCAGGATTGTATTTTTTTCCTTAAACATGGCAAAACCAAGAAGAATGCTTCCTGAATCCTACTTCAGTGGTTCCAATAACCTGATTAATCAATAATCACATGTTCAGAATAGCAGTATATGCTTCAAATGAAGAGGTAATCCCTGCATAGCTGGGAAATGGAAGAAATTCAGATAAAATTGGGAGTAATAGGAGACTCTGCCAGCTGCTCTGTATGTACCACTAAGTGAAATCAGTTAGGCTATAAACACTGTTAGAAACTTATTTGCTAGTAGCCACTGCGAGATCACTTTAATACAAGTTCCAGAAAAAGGAAGTCACAGCAATAAATGGAATTGAATGGAGAAGCAGGAGATATTTTTATGTGCTGGTGAAAACACAAAGAGTAAATGGCTTAAAGTGATTTATGGCTAACTTGCCAGAAGCAATTTTCAACCATGTCAATTTGTAAGACCTGAACTTATCAGTAAAGGAGTTAATAGTTCTCCTTTTAGGACAGAATCTTTAAATCAATTCAATAGGATATACTTTTAAGTAGACATGAGCAGTGAACATTCCATGCTTTGAAAATATTAGCAGTCAAATATTATATTCACTGATAATCTCTATTAAACTAGTACAATAATGGATGGGTTAAACTTCGACCAAATAAAATGGTTAAGTACTTCTGTGAGTTAATATTCAAGGCTACTATAAGTTGGATTATCCTGTTCTCTCTGGTTTCTTTTAAGCAATTCACCAAAATATCTGGGCAGTCCGTATTAATATTAGCATAAAATTTAGCAAAAATTAAAGTTAAGTTGTATCCAAAAAGTACCTCTCCTGGTAAATTAAGAAGAGGAATTTTAAAAATAGTAAAAAACATTTTTTTTTTAAAAAAAAATGAAGAGTTATTGATGCTGTGGATTGCAAAAATCTCTGCTTGTGTTGAAGTAATACAAATATGCATAGTGTTTTTCTGGCTCATACTGTGTTACTGGCTGATTTAGGTCCTTTTGGAAAGCAAAGCTAACGAAGAATGCTTAAATAAACAAACACTTTAATCAAGCAATTTTCATGATTCTCCCCCCCCCCTTTTTTTTTTCCATTTTTAAAGAAAAAGAAAAGTTGGCTAAGTCTATATATGTTTTTTTTCATCCTCGCGAAGTCAGAAGAAATACTGAAAAAAGGCAGCATTTTGTGAGAGTAGCCGCAATCCATTTTTTGTGCTGTAACTAGAATGTTGCTCTCTTGCTATTCACTTGTAGTTGTTTCTCAGTGATAAATATGCTGCAACCCTTTGCCTGTTTTCTTAGAGGAACTCCACAAATTCTGTGCAATTTTCTTCTCAGTAGGTATGCTTAAAATTATACTATTACACATGAATCTCTAGTGAAATTGCCATGAACATACGGTATTGATGATTCTGTGTCCCTTTAGATGAAGATACGGTAGGAGTACCATTGTCTGTCACTGGTGAACAGATTTCAAGTTTTTTTTTCATTGTTTCTCTGCAGACTAGTTTATTAACCAGTTACTTGATACAGGGGTGTCAAACTGCTGGCCCATGGGCCGGTTTCATCATACCAAAGCTGCGCCCACCCCATTGCCGGCAATGCAAAAAGAGTCACAATACATCGCGACACGTCACATGATGTGGCGAGTTTGACACCCGTGTATTAGAAGGACAGACACTGATCACAAGGGAATCAATGCATTTCTCAAGATTCAGTTTTCTTGAAGTTATTGTTGCTTCCAACCCGTATCAAAGAACATCATGTATAATAGACTTAGTAGACTTTTGGCTTTTTTCTGTTTGTTTTTAGGATTGCCCTCCAGAAGCCGGTGATTTTCGTACCCAGCAGTGTTCAGCACACAACGACGTCAAGTATCAGGGACAGTTTTATGAATGGCTTCCTATCCCTAATGATCCTGACAACCCATGTTCATTGAGGTGCCAGGCAAAGGAGACAAACCTTGTTGTGGAACTGGCACCTAAAGTCCTGGATGGAACCCGTTGTTACACTGAATCGCTAGACATGTGCATTAGTGGCTTGTGCCAGGTAAGGAATGCATTGTTTTGTTGTTTTTCTCTTTCTTTCAATTTACACGGTAGTCCCTGTTTAGTGACTGCCTCATTTAACAATGACTTTCAATTACAACAGGGATGAAAAAATATTTTTTTTTTTGCCAATCCTCACATTTAGGACCTTTGCTTTGTAAAGCAAAGAAACGCTGATCATCAACAATTATGGTTTCACTTAGCAGTTGCTTCACTTAACTGAATTGCGGTCACAATTATCACTAAATGAGGACTATCTGGATAAACTGATTATCATGTTTTACTCAGGTCTGCCCTCCTAATTATGTGCCATTTATTTTTCTAGTCTTTAAAGTATTCATGCCACTTCCAGAATCAGTTATATTTTTATTTCTATCATGGATTTGATGATAAGTTGCTTTTTTTTTCATTTTAACTGATAACTTTCACATTTCTTTATCCTTTATTAGGTTACTTATATTTCATATTTTTTCTGTAATGTTTTGTTCATGTAGCTCCAGTGAAATGGCAGTCATGCCCCTGATATTGGTGCGATTATGGCTTGGCCTTCTCATGACATTGCCTTCATGGCATCCCTAGCCTAAGGCAGCCTAAAGTGATATTGAACTATTCCAATGTTAAAGTAGCGTTGTTCTTTTTCACCTTGCTCAATTTTTGCTAATGAAAGAATGATAAATCTTTTTTTAAGTTGGATTTAACACTAATAGTTAATACTAGTAGTGTTAATCCTAGTATCATGCTGCATGGAAGGTCAGTTGAATCATGTTCTGCTGCTGCTTCTGACAGAGTGGGAGGAGCCTAATTTTGCCCAACTCCTGTGCCATTTTTCCTACTTGCTGCCATTTCCTTGACACTAGTTGAGGACAATCTCTCCATTCCATCTTTCCATCATCCCTGGAACCTGTCTGCAGGCTATTTTGGTGCACAGCTTTAGCACTTCTTCAGAAATAACTTAACCGATAGTCCTCACCGGTGATCTGCTTTTGGGGCAGTTTTTCAGATTAATACAACAGCCTTTCTAAGCACTTGCCTATATTCACCTATCCCCGCTCATGAAACATTAAGAACAGTTACTGGTATTAGCTTCTACTCCCAGCATATGATGTCTGCAGGAGGATAAACAAAGCCAGGTTCTTTGTTAATTTATCCAACCCTGCTTTTCTTCTGTTTGGAAAAATAGGAATTGGTAGTGAAAGTGCAGTTTATACCATCATACTTTTCTGCCCATTCATGAAGAATAACACTTAAAGACAGTCATCTTTGGAGAAAACTGACAAGAGCCTCCATTTATCCAGAATGTTTTTAAAAACTGGAGTTTTACCCATCCTCTTTCCCATTAGTATAGTATTTGGAACAAATGCATTATGGAAATGTCTACAGCTTTAGGAAGACCCTGTTACTTCTACAACATGACCATGTAGTGGAGTCTCATGTAGATCTGATATCATCAGTGAAGGTGTTCCTCAGAATTTATAGGACCCATTTCCAGATACCAGATAAAACTTATTTATTTATGTAGTAATTTTCTAAAAATCAGAACAGAAATTTTTGGCAACATGAGAGGAAGCAAGCATACTTGTACACCAGCTAAAGAAATGAAAGAACTTTTTCATTGCTTTGGAGAATGCTTGCCATAACAAAGTTTATCGGCTCCTTCACTTCAGGAAATCCTAGTTTTATAGATAATAGGGCTGTGCACATTTCGATAATGAAATGAACCTGGTTTTTTCCAGCCTTTCATGTCAGGTTGTAAAAAACTAGTGTAATATTAAATGTCATAACTTTTTAAACTCACTTGGAAGCTAAAAAGGGAGGTGAGAGATGCTAACCTTTGCAAATAAATTAGAACAAACTTTCTAGTTATTTTTGAAACATGCACAGTCCTAACTTTGGCATTTAATAAAAGGCCTATGTCCATTCCCCAATAACCCTCAGTTTTATAATTTCAGTGCAGGAAATCTAGAGGAATACTGGTATCACATTAGTACATTAGGGCAAAATTGTAGACTATACTGATTCATGGGGCACAAACTGGAACAAAACCTCTGATCTAGAAGTCTGAGCATTCTTTTCTTTCCTCCAAGGAAAATTAGTGATGATGGGTTAAAAGATGGAAAATTACTGGATCAAGGGAGGAACAGCTTACCAAGAAAAATGCAATAACATTGTGCACACACACACACACACACAAACACTCATTCATTCATTCATCTGTTTCACTTATTTAAATAAAACAAGTGGAAAAAAAATACTTGCAATTGCTTTCTCAGAAAGATACCACATCATGACAGTGAAGTATTTTCTGGAAACAAGAGGAAAATGATATGACAATGTAGAATTGTTTTTATAAATTATAAATTATTATAACTGTTTTTATCCAAATGGAGTGTAATCACTTAATATACCGACTTTATCCAAATGGAGTGTAATCACTTAATATACTTAATACATTGTGGAATTATTTCATCTAATGTTTATTTCCAAAGTTTAGGATGAATATGAATTTACCCTAGCTTTTAAAAAGCAGCTTAAGAAGCAAATACAGTATTGTTTAGGTTTTCTGAAGCTACAGCTTCAGATTTCATGGTTTTGCTCATCCATAACCCAATATAAAGCCTGACATTTTATTACCATATGAACTGAGTCTTGTTTCTGTTTCTTTGGGTTCTTTTCCCCCCTGGTTTGTTTCTCATAGTGTTCTTCTGACCTAAAGAATATCTTGATTGTTAAGAAAGATGTTTAGGCTTAATTGAATGTGATCTGTAATGGACAGCTTCATCTATCTCAGTTAATAATGAATTGAAATAGGGACCCTCTCTTTGATTTCAGGAGAAGACACGCAATGGCCTTTGGGGAAAACATATTTTGAATAGTTCAAGTCCCTTGTGAGCTGTTTTGCAATTGATTAATAAGACACCTAAGAGGATTGTATATTTAATTTGCCCTTCCCGTTTAGCCAATATGCTTTGGCTTAGCACAACATGTACATCTGGACCATTATCTAATTAGCTGAGGAACTGTTTGTCCAATCATAAAGGCTGGAAAGTCTTTACAATCCAGTTGTAGGACGCACCTTTCTGAGAAAATATTTCCACAGACACATGCTAATAAATAATAACCTTCATGACAACATATGTTTTTATATTCATGTCTTTGAGAATAGGGAGGAATGGAACAAAACATTCCATTCCATTGTTCTGATATCTCTTAACATGATGACCCAAATGATGAAATGTGGATTTGATATGTCTTTTGTGTTATGATGTGATGTTGTACAGAATTATAGAATGGAGTTTACATCATGAAGCACATTTTATAATTTCTCTCTCTCTCTCTCTCACACACACACACACACACACAGAGTGCTTTTTTCTAAAAAAAAAAAAAAGGTGCCAGAACTCACACACGTCATACAACGCACCTTGCCTACCTATAAGGTTCCATCCAAAAAAGGTGCCGGAACTCCGTTTTGGGTGTTCTATGAGAAAAAAAGCCCTGCATACACATAAACATTGGGTGCCTATATTACATTAACCAAAACCTAGAATGCTGGCTATAGTGGGGACTGTGTACTTTGCACCTACTGTCATATATACCAGCCGCCCCCAACCTTTCTGGCTTTCTAGACTGGCATCGGCAGCAATGGAATGGGGGATGGTTTCGCACAAGCAGCAGGGGTGTGCTTGTGCGTGCAGCTCCATTTGCACAAGCATCAGGTGTGTGCACTTGCCACTTGCATAAATGGAGCTTCACACACAAGCACATGTGCTCGCCGTTTGCACAAGTGGAGGTGCATCTGTGAGCAGGCTCGCCCACCACTTGCACAGCCTGGTTCCAAGTGGGCCTCAGCCCGGGGGTTGGGAACCCCTGATATATACCATTAAGTCTAATTATATACAGAGGAGGCTGCATCTCTCATTTGGTATTTCCAATAATGGGCTCAGGTTTGTGGGAGAAATGGTAGAGAGAATAATTAGACTCTGAAAGGGAGATGAAGTAAGACTTTGGTGCTTGTGTCATTAGGGAAAATCAAAACTAGGTTGTTGTTGTTTTTTTTACATGGATTGTGGCCCTGGTATAAACTAACTACAAGATTTAATGCCAGGTTCATGCCAAAGTTTGCTTGTTTAAGGTGGCCAGACACTAAGCAACGGTTTGCTTACTTTTAGGAGCTGGTCTGTGTATTGAAGCAACAAAAAAACTAATAGAAAAACTAGCCTACCCACAAGCCCCAATTTTAGTTCAGGTTCAAGTGAACTGGTCCAGAGCAAAAAAGGGTTCAAAAAGCAAGCTATCATGAGAATATGTTAGATCTGGGAGTTGTGCAAAGATATGTTTGAAGAGTATAGATCCTGCTGGCCCCTGCCAACCCCTGCCAGTGCATAGATTTGCTGACAACGGCCTTTTATCAAAAGTGTAAGTTTATCAAAAGTATCCTCAGTTAACTTCTTGCAGATATGTGGATACTGAGTTGGTTCTTGCATTGGGTCAAGTTCTTTCCTAGTTAAAAACGCAATATTTTCTAATGGAAAACCAGATTCCTAGCCAGGAAGAATCATAAAAGGAAAATTCACACACACCAAGACCCAATGGTTTTCCTTTTCCTCTCTTCGTCCTGGCCTGCATCCCTACTGCAAGATTATGGCATCTGAGCACCACTACTAGGAAAGCACAACATATTTAAAAGCTAAATGCTTTTTGGCTTGTGCATGCCTGTGTGATTCTGTCAGGCAAGCAGGAAGGATGTTGAAGGATGATCAGAAGAAGATGGAAACCCCAAATGATTCCCATATCCTGAAGCACTTGGTGCTTTGAGCCAGTCTCACAACGTTGTGCAAAAAAAAAAAAAAGTCATGGCTCTTTTGCCACACAGCTCAGCCAAACCTCAAAAGCATTCACTGATCTGTTTGGAGTGAAGAAATACCAAGTTCCTTTCTCGTTAATTTGTATTGGATGTTTATTTTGGGCCAGTGGGAGTCTTGTACATTCCCTTAGAAAAAA